ATCATATGACTCTAGAAATTTGTGAATGCCTTCGATATTTTCTATTTTATTGGAGTATAAATTTTCAAAATAATTTCTAATTATTTTCTGTATTTCTGTAATTCAGTTGTGATGTTTTTCATCATGGATGTGAGTAATTTGAGTGTTCTCTCTCCTTCTCTTCCTTAGCATTGCTAAGGGTTTATCAATTTTATTTATTTTTTCAAAGAACCAACTTTTTGTTTTGTCAATTTTTTCAATTGTTTCTTTTGTTTCAACTTCATTGATTTCAGCTCTGATTTTAAATATTTTCTGTTTTCTACTGCTTTGGTATTGATTTGTTCTCCTTTTTATATGGCTTTGAGATGTAATGTTAGGTCATTTATTTGTTGACTTTTTCTTATTTTAAGGAATGAACTCTATGCAATGAACTTTCCTCTTATTACTGCCTTTGTAGTGTCCCAGAGATTTCAATATGTTGTATCAATGTTCTCATTTACTTCTAAGAATTTTTTAATCTCCACCTTGATGTCTTTTGCAGCTTATCGATCATTCAGGAACATATTGTTTAATCTTCAGGTGTTGGCGTAGCTTTTATTTTTATCATTAATTTCTTGTAGGGATTCTGATCATGGAAATGTAAAGAGAAGTATTCCCCTGGTGAGCAAACTCCCAGGGGTAACAGGCACCCTATTTCCCACCCTTAGAATGCCCTGAAATCTCTCTTAGGATCTAGTAATATAGCTAATAAATGTGCAATGTCTAGCTGGTATGTCAATGCCCTGAGAAACTTCTGTGTTTGAGCCTCATCAAGCCTTGACCTTGATTGTAGGCACATAGTTTCTGGGAATGAAGGAACTTGTTCGCTGGATAACTACAATGTCTCATCAAGCTTTGGGGTCTTGGGTCTGACTTCCTACTGGTAAATTTAGTCAATGGACTTCCTTGAAAGCTGCACAAAACTCCTGACATTGCGTATTGTAACTACAAAATAAGCAACTTTAAGATACTCTAGACAATAATGTAGTTATGGCACTAATGACCTAATGTAACCTATTGGTATATATAAATGTGGCCACTTGGACAAGGAGCCACTCTGTCACTTTCATGCCTTTGCATGGTGTCTCTGTGCCACCCTTTATTTATTTCTTTACAATTTCTAATTTCATTCCATTATGATCTTATAGAATGCAGGGTAGTATTCTACTCTTTGTATTTGCTAAAAGTTGCTTTGTGGTATAATATATGGTCTATTTTAGAGAAGATGCCCCACCACATTCTAATGTACCATTCATACACCAACCCATTATTTCCCTTGCCCCAAATCATTCAAGACCAGGTACCAGGCATTTAGGGAACCTCTCCATTATTCCAACCTGCTAGAATTATTCAAACCACCCAATCCTAAACTCTTTACTCTGCCTTTTCCACTCCAATAAAGGCTCTAGTTTGACTTTCTCTTGCTCTTGTCATCTGCCTGCTGATCATTCTGATATTTCCCTGTGGCCCTGTGTAGTGTGGCTCATTCCTTCTCCCAGGAAATTTCTCCTGCAAAGGCACTGGCCCCAGTGTCAGCACTCAGTTTTATCTTGTAAGTAAAATCCATGCCTTATTTAGAATAGGGTAAGCCCAGTGGTTGGAAACTCTCCAGCTGTTCTGGACGGACATACTTTAGTGCTAAATGGGTTCACACCTTTCCTTAAAACGTTGTGACATGGCTGCCTACAGTGGCCTAGGCCTGTAATCCCAGCAGCTCGGGAGGCTGAGGCAGGAGGATGGAGAGTTCAAGGCCAGCCTCAGCAGAATCAAGGCACTAAACAACTCAGTGAGACCCTCTCTCAAAATAAAATAAAATAAATAGGGCTGGGGATGTGGCTCAGTGGCTGAGTGCCCCTGAGTTCCTTCCCCAGTATGCCCCCCAAAAAAGTTGCAACATCATTAAAGGAAAAAAAATAAATCACTGGACAATACAAGGTCAAAAAATAAGATGGTATGTACTAGTGTGATGAGATGTATATATAAGAAAAAGTGTTGTGTGCTGTGTAATCATTGAAGGAAAGGAAAGAGATGTAAATCTTGAAACAGTAGACACAATTTGCATAGATAAAAGGAAAAGAAAAGAATAGTAATCTACATAGGAAAAAACATGAAGGGATTAAGATAAAGAGTGTAAATATTGTGGTGTGTGTGTGTGTGTGTGTGTGTGTGTGTGTGTGTGTGTGAGAGAGAGAGAGAGAGAGAGAGAGAGAGAGAGAGAGAATGGGTGAAGAGAGGAAAGGCCCACTCAGAGTAGCGATATATATTTTGTCATTAGAAGTTAAAATAATTTGAATATTGGGTAAGTGGGCAAGGAATTTGAGTTTGAAGTAATGAGAAATATAGAATGACTTTATTTCTTAAAGAAAGAAAGTGATTTGAGAGAAGCAGATTTTCTCGTTGTTCAGTGTTATAAAGAACAATGCGTTTGACTACAAGAAGAATCAAGTGATTCATAGTGAACAGCCAGATAGATACTATATAGAGAGCTAATTCACACATAAGGTAAAAGTATGGATTAAGCATGGTCAAGGGAAGTCAGACAAAATATTTTTTAAAATATTTTTTAAAAAAGAGATACATGCTGGAACAGATTGGTCATGAAGAAAGGATGAAAAGACAAAGATGTCTAAAAAAATTTGTTTACCTGCAAACACTGGTTTTTCTTTATACCATTATATTTTTGCCATATAGATTTACTGGTTTTCTTTTATTAAAGAAGACCATATATTTAAAAAAATAAAAATGTTCACAACAGAGATTTGTTTCTGTTTGAGACCATGAGTTCAATCTCAGTCATGTTCAGGTTCAGGTATCTTGCAATCCCAGGTGGAGGAGCTCTAGAGACTTGACAAAGACAGAACTGGACCCCAGGGAGTATTCAGAGACACTGGCAACAAACAAAAATCCCAAATTTAAAGTGCAGTGGATGAAGTTCATCAGAGAGTGAGTAGATTTAAAAGAAAGAGATTTTGAAGCAGGATTCTCAACACCCTCAAAGCAGATTTACCTAAAGTTAGGACAGCAATGTGAAACAGACTAGAATTCTATTCCATTTAAAGCAGAAGTTATGATTTAGAGACATTCACATGCACTGAGAGAATGATCCAGGCTTTTATCCATGCCCCCCTGAGGTTTATAAGGCCCAGAAGGGCAAAAGGAGAAACTTGAAAGGGAAAAAATTATGTTGCTGGGAAGCAGGAAGAACTGGTGAGAAGGATACAGTGAGTCCCAGAGCATGGGGGGTGGAAATGAGGAAGAAAAAACAGTGAGGGTTGCAGAGAAAGAAAGAGGACTGAGAGAAAATAGAGGATGTACCTCACAGGAGAAGAGGTTGCAGGCACCAGGGAAAAGTCAAACCCAGCTGAGGTAATCTAACAAGAGCACAGAGAACAAACAGGAGAGAGATGGGTTTGGAGTCAGGAGAGCTAGAGGGGTATGTAGGGAGCACATGGAGAAGATGAACAGATTTTTCCAAAAATCCTTTCAAGTTTTAAGAATAGCAGATAAGGGAAAACATGAAAAGAAAATTTATAAAACAAGGGCTAGTATATATGGAGCATGTGCTCACTGTGCTAAGCACTCTGCCTGGTTTCTATGAAAATACCTACATCATTTGCTCATACTCTGGATAAAAGTATATATAAATTTCTGATTATTATTATTATTCAATACTGAACATTTAATCTCCTAATGAAAAATTCAAATTAAAAATTAGAGCTACATCAAAACTAAAATAAATACATTGCATGTTAATTTTTTATAAAAGTCAGCATCTTTTGACTAACTCTAATTGCATTAACTAATAAATCCTCCAAAGTTTAAGGGCTTAACTCAATAGAATTTCAATATTTATCACTCTCATAATGATTCAGAATGTTTACTCATGTGTCAGAATGCTTTCCTCCATAGTTATTCAGGGGCCTTGGATCCTTCCATCTGTGGCTCACCTGTCCCTCTGTCTCTACATTGTCTGAATCTGCTGAATAAAAGAACTAGTGAGCTTAAATGAGACACCACTTCCTTTAAATGCTTAGGGCCAGAAGTGATACACATCACTCTATCTCATATTGGGTTTATAAGAACCAGTCATAGGAGACCACCCAGAGTTGGGTGGTAGGTCTAGTAGGCTGGTGGGAAATCTGGAAAAGGTTTTTCTTGTCTATACCACTGACAGGCAGAGCATAAAAGTTAGTAATCTAACAGCTTCTTTTTCACTTTGTCAGATTTAACAGGTTCAATCTCAGTCATGTTCAGATTTAACAGTTACTTTTTATTCCTGGATAACGTAAACTCTTACTTTGTTTCTTTGAATAAAGAGTTAGAATTATTCCACTTGAAGCTGGGTAGAATTGTACATAGTTTCCTTTCACTGAAACTTGGCATTACATTTGATATGAATTTTTTTCGTTTCTTCTGTAGGTAAAAATGAGAAAGTGAAATGTAATTAAAAGGAAAAAAAATATCACTAGCTATCTAGCATCATCTAGTGGCTTCATTTTCCCACTGATGCTCAGTTTTCAAGCACAGAGTCAACTTCTTAGACAGATATTTTGAATTCAGTCAATATAAGGTTAAAATGATAGACAGAAAGACATTAATTAAAATGCTTTTAAACCTGGGTGTGTTTGATTATGGTAACTAAATTAACATATTGAGCAATTCTTTAAGCATAGTATTCTGCTACTTTTGTTGACATCAGAATGGTTATAATGAAAGGTTAATAAAATAGGTACTTGTCACTCCGTTTTTCTATATGCTTAACAAAACACTATTGAAATCTTAAGAACTGTTTGCTAATCTTGTTCCCAGAATGTGCCGTCCCCAACTGCAAACTGTTTGCTAATCTTGTTCCCAGAATGTGCTGTCCCCAACTGCCAAACTGCAAAATGTAACTTCCCTCCCTGCCCTCTCCAAGGAAAGTATATGAGCTCTGCTTAAGCTGTTCTCAGGGCTCTATCTCTCTTTGCTCTATTGAAGTGAGCTCTGAGCCCCAGCATGCTGGTCCCCAAATAAACCCTTTGCTGTTGCATGAGGCAGTCTCTTGGTGGTCTCTTCCTCCGACGTTTCGCCAGTCCCTTACATTTGGTGCATGGGCGGGAAGTGTGCATCGCTGGACAGGGAGACCCCAACAGACTCCTTTAGGGGGTAAGTAAGGCGCCTCTTCTTCTTCTTCCTCCTTCTTCTCCTTCTTGTTTTTCCTTCGGGATCGCTCAGAGCTTTTTGGTTCAGGTTTGGTTTTTGGCTTAAGTTTGGTTTTTGGTTTGGGTTGGCAGAGTGGTTGCCAGCGGAGAGCGTGAGCTCCCCCTGGTGGTGGTGGACACACGTGTCCTGAAGCCATAGACCATGTCCTTCAAGGGACACCTTGGAGGACTCGGGGAGGGACGGAAGCGCCCTCATCTGGTAGAGGGACGGAAACACCCTCGTCGGGCATATTCTGCTGCCAACCTGTCTGGTCTTGCCAGCAGTTCTTTCTCTCAGGTTGAATTCACTGTCTGTTTTTAATCTTTGCCTCTGAACTTGTGTTACACGTTTACTGTGTGTGTCCGTGTTTGTGTCACGTTTGTATTGTCCCTGTCTTTGTTCAAGTAACTTTCATTATGGGACAAAGCCATTCCACGCCTCTGTCCCTGACCCTTGATCACTGGACTGAAGTCCACTTAAGGGCTTAAAATCTTTCTTTTTCAGTAAAACGTCGGACCTGGCAGACTCTCTGTGCCTCAGAATGGCCCACCTTTGGAGTCGGATGGCCCCCAGAAGGATCTTTCTACTTCCCACTAATTTTAAAAGTCAGAGACATTGTCTTTGTCTTTCAGCCGGGACCACATAGCCATCCAAATCAACAGCCATATATCTTAACTTGGCAGAACCTCTGCAAATCTCCTCCTCCATGGGTGAAGGCTTTTCTTGTCCCTGTCCCCACTCCTACTCCTTCCCCCATAATTCTGTCTCTCAAACCCTCTGCTCCTCCTCCTCCTCCTCCACCCTCTGTTCTCCCTAAATCTCAAGATTTGACTCTACTGGACTCTCCTCCCCCTCCTTATCCCCTGCTCTCATCCCCTAATCCCCAACACTCTCTAAGTGATTCCCCTGCTGCTGACTCAGCCTCTCCACCATTGGAGGAAGCGAAGCCGGCCCAATGCCCTCCAGATGACTCCCCCACGGCACACACAGCCCCTCCTCCCCTGGAGGAAACTGGCCCAACTAAAAGAACTCAAAAAAACTCACCGGCGTTTTCACACCAGCCTACTTGGGATGACTGCCAACAACTCCTAGGGACTCTCTTCATGACAGAGGAACAAAACAGAATCCTCCTGGAAGCTAGGAAAAAAATACCCTCAGACCAGATGGGCGACTGACACAACTTCCCAACATAATCAAAGCCGACTTCCCCTTGAACCGACCCAACTGGGACCCCAACACCTTTGAAGGTAGGGAGCATCTGTCCACTTATCGCTGGGCTCTAATAGCGGGTCTCTGAGCAGCCACTAGACGGCCAACTAATTTGGCCAAGGTAAGAGAGATTATTCAAGGGCCTAATGAATCTCCCTCTATGTTTTTGGAGAGAATTATGGAGGCATATAGGAAATATACTCCTTTTGATCCTCAGGCAGAGGATCAAAAGGCATCTGTTACAATGGCCTTTATTGGGCAAGCTGCCCTGGATATTAAAAGAAAGTTACAATGCTTAGATGGATTACAAGGTATGACTTTGAGAGATTTAGTCAGAGAAACCGAGAAGGTATACTATAAGAGAGAAACTGAGGAAGAGAAGGAACAAAGGAGGGAGAAAGAAAGGGAGCAAAGGGAGGATGAAAAAAGCAAAAGACAGACTAAGGCATTGACTAAGGTCCTGGTCACAACAACAAATAGGCCAGAAATTAAGAGACAGGGAGACAGAAAGGGATACCTGGGCCCACGCCAGAAGCCACCTCTGGCTTCAGATCAATGTGCCTACTGTAGAGAAAAAGGACACTGGGCCAAAGAGTGCCCTAGAAAGAAACAGCCACGCCAGCCAGCCATTCTAACTCTGGAGGATGACTAGGAAAGTCGGGGCTTGGATCCCCTCCCCGAGCTCAGGGTAACTTTTGAAGTGGAGGGGACCCCAGTAAACTTTGAAGTGGATACAGGGGCAGTATACTCAGCCTTTAAGGCCCCACTGGGCCCTCTATCAACTAAAAGGTCTCTAGTTCAAGGGGCTAATGGCAGTAAATATCGGACTTGGACAACTAAGAGGACCATGGACCTGGGGAAAGGAAAAGTTCATCACTCCTTCCTAGTGATCCCAGAATGCCCAGCCCCATTGATGGGCAGAAATCTGCTCACCAAACTCTGGGCCAAAATAACTTTTAACCCTGAAGGCCCCCAAATGAAATTTCTAAATCCTTCAGTAAAAACTCCTATAGTCATGGCTTTAACTATATCAGTAGAAGATGAACATCAACTCTTCACACCCCACAAGACTGATCAAACAGGCAAGCTATCCCAGAAATGGATAACAGATTACCCAGATGCCTGGGCAGAAACTGCTAAGTTAGGCCTAGCAGTAAAACAACCTCCAATAACAGTGGAGTTAAAAACCTCAGCCTCCCCAATTAATATTAAACAATATCCTCTGAGCAAAGAAGCTAAAGATGGGATAAGGCCCCATATTCAGAAATATCTGGCCTTAGGGGTCCTAAGGCCCTGTCAATCGGCCTGAAACACTCCCCTGCTACCAGTAAAAAAAGCCAGGAACCGGGGACTATCACCCTGTTCAAGACCTAAGAGTGATCAACAACAGAGTGCAGGACATTAACCCCACAGTACCTAATCCGTACAATCTGCTTAACACCCTGAACCCTGAGCGAAAATGGTATACTGTTCTGGACTTAAAAGATGCTTTCTTTTGCTTGCCTCTGCATAAAGATAGTTAGTTGCTGTTTGCTTTCGAATGGGTAAACCCAGAAACCGGAACGTCTGATCAACTAACTTGGACCAGACTCCAACAGGGGTTCAAAAACTCCCCCACTCTCTTTGATAAAGCCCTCCACAGAGATCTCAACAACTTCAGAACTATACACCCCGAAGTCACCCTGCTTCAATATGTGGATGACCTGCTACTGGCAGCCGATACCAAGGAAAACTATACATTTTCAGGATGGATTGAAGCCTTCCCCACAAAAAAAAAAAGAATCGGTGCAAATGGTGGTCAAGAAGATCCTGGAAGATATTTTTCCAAGATACGGCCTGCCTAAGGTAATAGGGTCTGATAATGGACCGGCGTTCGTGGCCCAGGTAAGTCAGGGGTTAACCAGGACCCTGGGGATTAATTGGAAGTTACATTGTTCTTATAGACCCCAGAGCTCAGGACAGGTAAAAAATAAATAAATAGAACCATTAAAGAGACCTTAACGAAATTAAGCTTAGAGACCGGCATAAAAGATTGGACTATGCTCCTGCCTTATGCACTGTTTCATACAAGAAATACTCCCTCTGTTTCTTTGTGTAACCTCACCCCCTATGAAATTCTCTATGGTGCCCCTCCTCCAGTAAGGGGCCTAACCCCAACTCTAAGACCTAACAATCCCTTCCACACCCCCTTGCTTGACAGAGTTAAAGCTCTTGAAAAAACTCAGTGATACCTGTGGAAACAGCTGGCCACTGCCTACCAACCTGGGGACGAAGGAACTCCACACTGATATCAAGTGGGAGACTTCGTCTACATAAGACGACATCAGGTGTCATCCCTAGAACCCCGCTGGAAAGGACCATACCAGGTGCTACTTATAACACCTACGGCGGTAAAGGTAGATGGAATCACTTCCTGGATCCATGCCTCTCATCTCAAGCCTGAGCCCTGTCCAGACTCTGGCTGGAAATTGTAAAAGACTGGTAACCCTCTCAAATTGCGTATTCGCTGTGTGGATAGGGCTATGGACTCTCCCCTTAACCACCAGTAGTCCTAACCCTCACCAGCCCGTTCAGCAACGATGGCTGATCACAAATCCTACCGGACAGGAAGTATGGTCTGTCTCACATACAGCCCCCTTAGGGACCTGGTGGCCATCTCTCCACCCAGACATTTGTCAGTTGGCTATAAGTCTTTCCTATTAGGATATCCCTGATGAAGAGGATCCCACTAAAATTCCATTAAATCCCTTCCGTACCATAGATAATGGAAACAAACATTATGGATGTAGGGACACGCGAGCCAGATGCAGGTTGGCTAACCTAGATTACTATGTTTGCCTGGCAGACTATCGAAGCCACAAACAGTCATGGCTGTGTGGGGGAAGAACCGACTTCTTCTGTAAGTCATAAGGATGTAAACATACAGGGGCTACCAAACCTCTGCCGGTTCTCAGACCATTGCCCCCTTGCTGAAGTAACAGGTAGTGAGGTATTTCTCCACCCATTCACTCCTCTCTTCTCCTGTCAGTGCCCACACCGGGTCCCACCAGGTCCTCTTACCAGCTAACCCAAAGCTCAAACCAGCTGAGGAGAGCCCTCAGACCCCTATCCAAGATGTAATGAAAATGGCCTTTAAAGTTGCTTTGTCATCACTGAAAACAGGTTACTAAAAATTTAAAGTCCCTCACAGGCTTTCTTTGGGATACTCACTCCAGTCTTCCCCTCTGCTCTACCTGTTCTACTACTCAAGCTTTTGTTGCTAGGAAAATCCCAAACCCCTTTCCCATTATTCTTTTACATCTCTCCTTCCTCATTCTCAGATCCACGGAGCTGCTCTCAGCACCGCCTTCCCCGTCCTCCCCCTCTATACCAGGCGCACAGAAAAGTCTTAACTGACCTTCTCCAGAAGTCTTCACCATGGCTGACTTTAGGAATTTCAGCAAAAGAGTCCCTATAAAAGAGTTCAGTATAGATAAACCTTCTCTTTTCATGTTGCCCTGTTCTACTTGGCCACTGGCTGGAAAACTCAGCACTCCTAAGCTAGACACCCCCTTACTAGTTTTTCACAAAACATGTGAACAAGGCCTCTGGCCTTGAGCTGGGGCTTCACAGAGATGGCTACATTTCTAAGATAAAAAAGTTATCAACTGGGCTCCATGGTAACAGCTGGCAAGGAAAAAAAAAAAGTTCTCCCCCTCCCAGGTGTCCTTGAAAAGTTAACTTGCCCAGAACAGAGGAAAAAAAAACAGAAACAAAAACTGCTTTTTGTGAACTTCTGCAGACTGTGAACTTCTGAGACCCTTCCCTTACATGTTGAGTACAAAATTCTGAAGCTACCTAAACTTGGGGTTCAGGGGATTAATTGATTACAACAGAAGCAATGCCCTCCGAATACGGTTGCAACCAAATAGGACTATTTCCCTGTCTTCAGTGCTATTTTAGGTGCCTTGCCTTGTCTGTCCCTACAACAGTATAATTCTATATACTTAAACATTATTTATGTTTTCATGAAATGGTCAACAGATGTAATTAATTGTATAATGGTGCAGATGTTTCCCAGAGTGCTCTATCATGACGCAGGTTCATTTGAAGATCAAATAAGGGGACATACAACCCAGTTCCGCCGGAAACCTGTATCCCTCACTTTAGCCATCTTATTAGGAATGGGAATTGCTGCAGGGGTGGGTACAGGGACCACTGCCCTGGTCCGTGGGACACAACAAATGACCCAATTAGAAACAGCAATGGACCAAAACTTAAAGGTATTAGAAACCTCCATCACAGCTTTGCAGGAATCTTTAACCTCTCTCTCTGAAGTTGTTTTACAGAACAGGCAAGGGTTGGACCTCCTCTTCATGAGAGAAGAGGGCCTTTATGCTGTATTGAGAGAAAAATGTTGTTTTTATGCCAACCATACTGGAGTTGTAAAATAATCTATGAGTAAATTTAAAAGACGCCTTAAAGAGCGTCAGCGAGAGAGAGAGGCCCCAAAAGGGTGGTATGAGTCTTGGTTCACACAGTCCCCCTGGTTAACTACGCTTTTATCAGCCCTGGCTGGTCCTTTAATAATTCTTATATTGTTGCTAACTCTAGGACCCTGTTTGCTCAACCGTGTAGTTTCCTTTCTCCAAGCCCAAATTGGACAAGTGAAACTTATGGTAATCAGACAACAATATACCCCACTAGCAGACATAAAATGTGACACACCCCAATGATCACTTTTATGATTAAAAGTAGCCAGAAGAAGTGGGGAATGAAAGGTTAATAAAATAGGTACTTTTCACTCCGTTTTTCTATATGCTTAACAAAACACTGTTGAAATCTTAAGAACTGTTTGCTAATCTTGTTCCCAGAATGTGCTGTCCCCAACTGCCAAACTGCAAAATGTAACTTCTCTCCCTGCCCTCTCCAAGGAAAGTATATGAACTCTGCTTAAGCTGTTCTCAGGGCTCTATCTCTCTTTGCTCTATTGAAGAGAGCTCTGAGCCCCAGCATGCTGGTCCCCAAATAAACCCTTTGCTGTTGCATGAGGCAGTCTCTTGGTGGTCTCTTCCTCCGACATTTCGCTGGTCCCTTACAATAATTTTATATTTCTCAGAAAAGTGAACTAAATTTTGTCGCATTTGAGTCTTAAATTAGTTAATTAACATTTTTGTAAATTTGAAGTTAGAATATATTTTTCATTTTCTGTGCCTTCTTTTGTGACTATTTTATTTGGGGTGGGGGTTTAGAAAGCCAACGAAAGGAAAATCAAATCTGCTGAAGGCATGCACTTACTTAGGATTGTTGCTTACTGGAAAGAAACAAGATGCAAGTTTAGTATCTAATCCAATGTTCCTGAAAAGGTCTAGTGAAATAAAAATTCACAATTAACAAAATAAGGAATAACACTATTAAAAATAATCCTTGGTTTTATACAAATCTAACAAAATTTTATAAATTTATATTTATGTTGCTATTAATCAGACTAATTAATTATTTTGAATTAGTAATCAATAATAATTATAATGCTTATATCTAGCATAGGTTTAAGTGAATTACTAAAAGTGCTAATAAATTAATTGAAAGGTCAGAAAACTACTAGATTTTGGTTTTGATCCTTTGCAGTATAATTTTGCAAAGTTAACAGGAATCACTTTTCATAGTTCATTGTCAAAAGGCAGAATAAGACTTTAAAAAAATATTCATACTTCTAAAACAAATAAAATTGAACTGACTACTAATGTACTACCCGATTTATCAGTTCTTGAGAGGTATGATAGAGAAACCAGTAAACAGCATGAGTTGTGGGAAAGTGAGCAAGTTCCTCAGGCAATTTATCTGTTCAAAGTCAGTCTATTCTATATCACTGCAGTTTGGCTACAGGCCTGGTGTGTTCCGACAGTATCTTTTCATGCTGAGTGGCCCCGGCTGTATGGTGATTTGCTAGACCAGTGACAGAAACCAGAAAGAAACTGCTTTTCAAAAGGAGAGTCATTACCTGAAGAGAATGACCTGCTTTTACTCCAGGAACCCTAAGGCTCTGGACTTTGATTCAAACCCAAGGGCCTAACAAAAGCTCGAGCTGACAAACCTGTCTTCCACTCTGTCTTCAAGTACCAATGAGCCTGTTGACACACATTGAGTCTGTTACATAACAGTTCTGACTCATGACAGAGTGTTCTGTTGTTCTAGGCAACCACTAAAATTTTCAGCTTTTCTGATCACTTCACAAATGGATAAGGGCAGCATGCCCAGATGAGATATTTGTTGTCTCTAAAGTCCAGAGGCCATCTGGGCAAAGGACTTCATTCTGTTGTTGTTGTTTTTTGTTTTGGGGGTTTTTTTTATTGTTGTTGTTGTTGTTGTTGATGTACTGAGTATTAAACCCAGGGGCACTTTACCACTAAGCTACCCCTGGCCTTTTATTTAAAAATTTTGAGACAGTTGCTTAGAGCTTAGTTGCTTAGAGCCTCACTAAATTGCTGAGACTGGCCTTGAACTTGTGATCCTCCTGTCTCAGCCTTCCATGCTGCTGGAATTATATACATTTGCCACTGTGCCCAGATCATTCTTAATCATACTAGGAAAAGCCAGGATGAAATGAAGACTGCAGCAAATGACATTAAAGGTATTGAAAATG